CCTAACCCGCACATCCCTGGGCACTACGGGACAATTTAGCACGGCCAATCCACCCTAACCCGCACATCCCTGGGCACTACGGGACAAGTTAGCATAGATGAGGCGACCACTTCGCAGAACATCTATGTTCTGCTCGCAAAAAAGACCCTGAGCTTCCCGCTGCCTGCCACTTTGCCACACCACCCTGTTCCCTGGCCAACATCTGTGTCTCAGTGCTCCAGCAAAGCTCAGTGCAAACTGGAAGAACACCACCTGATTTTCCACTTGGGAACTGTACAGCCTTCTGGACACAATATTGACACAAATATAACTTTAGGGCTTGAGTTCTCCCATGTTCTTACCCCTAACACCACACACTAGGCCTTATCATCACAAGTCTGCTATTACACACAACCCTAATGTTAGTCCCCATTAACAGCTATTCACCCTCCTAGCCAGATTGTTATCCACTCCATTGTTTGTTCAACTGCTCTTCTCTCTCTTTGGGCTCTGTCCCCACCCCTCGTTTACTCCTAACCCATTCCCCTCACCCTATCATCTACATAAAAAAATTTTCCTAGCTACCATCAGTTCTGAGGAAGGGTCACTGGACCTGAAACGTTAACTCTGATTTCTTTCCACAGCTGCTGCCAGAACCTGCTGAGCTTTCCCGAAAATTTCTGTTTTTATTTCGGATTTCCAGCATCCGCAGTTCTTTAGGTTTCTATTTACCGCCTAGCCTGCATATCTCTGGGCACTACAGGGCAATATAGCATGGCCAACCCACCCTAACCTCGACATTTTTGGACTGTGGGACCACGCGGACAGCTGTCCAAGGGTTGAATTGTGCAAAGTGAGCACGCGAAAATAAACGCCACAGAAAAGAGGAAACTGACCAAAACATTTTAACCTCGCATCAGGACACAGACGCATGAATGCCCAGTCTCAGAAGAATGATTCTGTGATTCACTGAAGTCTTCAGAGAAAACTGGGGTAAGGAGCAGGCTGTTGGGCCCCTTGAGCCTGCCCCATCACTCAGTAAGATCATGACTGGGCTCACAAATTGACAGTATCAGAACTACCCAAAGAACTACCCAGCTAGTCCCACCTCTATAGCCCTCTAAGGTCATCCCAAACTTGCAATCTGCAGCCTCCCCACCCCACCGCCCAGGTAACCCTCCACCAAGAGACAGTAAGAACTGCCGATGCTGGAGTCTGAGATAACACAGTGTGGAGCTGGATGAACACAGCAGGCCAGGCAGCATCAGAGGAGCAGGAAAGCTGACGTTTCAGGTCGGGACCCTTCTTCAGAAATCTTTCACCAAGAACGCCTTAAAAACAGCTTCAGGCACCACCACCACCTCCTCCTCCTCACGGTCAGCACTCCAAAGATTTGTGCTGGCCAGATTAAAAACTCACCTGATCTTGCCTGTTTTTAATGCAAGATCCCTTCGTTTTTTAAGGGGGAGTGTCGCCAGGGAACTGCAAACTTGAAACCATCCAAAGAATTGAAAAGGCAGAAGGCAGGATGACACAGGGTCCTGTGTAAAACATTGGCCAGGCCACAGCTAGAGAGTACAGTGTGCAGTTCTGGAATGCACATTATCAGAGGGATGTCACAGCACTGGAAAAGGGGGCAGAGGGAGACCTACCGGGATGTTGCCCTGTGGCTGGCGTCGCGGAGGAATATAACACGGAAACAGGTCCTTCCGCCCAACTCGTCCAATGCCGACCAGGTTTCCTGAACTGACCTTGTCCCATTTGTCACCGTTTGGCCCATATCCCTCTAAACCTTTCCTATTCATGTACTCATCCAGATGCCTTTTAAATGTTGTCATTGTACCAGCCTCCACCATTTCCTCTGGCAGCTCGTTCCATACACACACCACCCTCTGCGTGAAAAAGCTGCCCCATAGGTCCTTTTTAAATTGTTCCCTTCTCACCTTAAACCTATGCCCATCTAGTTTTGGGAAAAGAGGGAAAAGACCTTGGCTATTCACCTTATCTCTGCCTCTTGTGATTTTATAAACCTCTATAAAGGTCACCCCTCAGCCTCTTACGATCCAGTGAAAAAAATCCCATCTCTCTAGCCTCACCTTGTAGCTCAAACCTCCAGAGTTTCAGCGATGCGAGAGAGAGAGATTGGACAGACTGGGGTTTGTTCTCCTCAGAGCGGAGATGGGGGGGGCAGGGTTCGAATGGATAAAATGATGAGGGTCATCGATAGGGGAGACAGGAAGGAACATTTCCCCCCTTGGTGGAGGGATTAATGACCAGGAGGGGTAAGATTTAAGGGAAGGGGCAGCAGGTTTAGAGGGGAGGGGAGGATAGACTCTGTCACCCAGAGGGTGGAGTGGAATCTGGAACTCTCTTCCTGTAAAGGGTGGGAGCGGCAGAAATCTTCATCAAATTGAAGATGTGTTTAGTTGGGCACTTGCGATGCCAAGGCTGGGAAACAGCACCAGTACAGTTAAGTGGTTATTTTTGACCAGCACGGACACGATGGGCCAAAGGGCCATTTTTTTTGTGCTGTGTACATCAAGGACTCTGACCTTCTGTAGCCAAACAAGTCCTATAGGATTGTATAACTCTTCCAGACAGAGGGCTTGGCATTAAAATTGGACGAAATGCCAAGTGGGCCTTGACTAGAGCATTGGCAGCACCACACTGTAAGAAAGGTGGCGAAGACAGAGAAGGTGCCAGGAAGACTAAGGACAAAGGTTCTGGGAATCTGGGACATCGGTGACGCGGATAGAGTGGAGAAGCCGAAAGAGGTCCCCCTCAGAGGAAGAAAGGCTTGATTTGACAGAGGGGTCCAAAACGATGAGGGGGTTCGGAAGAGGAAACCGACTTTGGGAGACAGTGGGTTTTGAAGGGGCATGGATCAAAGATGATCACTGAAAGAAGCAATTGAGACATGGTTGGGGGCTGGGGGGGGGGGGGGGGGGGGGGGTTTCCATGTGGTGAGGGGGTTAGGATCGGAGGAGGGGGGAGTTCCTGAGTTCAGGCCCCTTCCCCCCCAACCCCAAGGCAGCTGAATGCCTGGCCCCCAGTGGCAGAGTGATCGGAATCGGGGGTTGCTGGAGAGGCCAGGATTGGAGGAGCACAGAGGGTTGTAAGAGGTGACGGAGATAGGGAGGGGATGGCATGGACTGGGGAGGCGATGGCCTAGTGGTTTTATCACTGGACTGTTAATCCAGAGACTGGGTCTCGGGTTCAAATTCCAGATGGTGGAATTTGAATTCAATAAATATTGGAATTAAGCATCCAATGATGACTATGATTGTTGGTAAAAACCCATCTGGTTCACTAATGTCCTTTAGGGAAGGAAACTGCCATCCTTACCTGGTCTGGTCTACATGTGACGCCAGACCCACAGCAATGTGGTTGACTCTCAAATGCCCTCTGGGGCAACTGGGGATGGGCAATAAATGCTGGGCCTAGCCAGCGACACCCTCATCCCGTGAATGAATAAAAGGGAATAAAAAACAGCGTGCAGGTGCTACAATGGGACTGAAAGATGAAGAATGAAGCGAAAGGGTGTTTACGTCCCTAATGCAGCCGAGTTCTCGATTAGGATTTCAACACCAAACAAGCTGCAGCCCCCAGGGCCCTGCTGGGAATGGAAATACAGAGCAGCCTGGGTCATCCCAGACGTCTGTACTCATTCCCCAGCGATTATCACCCCCTGGCGAGGTGTTTCCACTGTCAAAACACTGACTACAAAGAGTTTACATCAACCAGTCCCTAGGCAGGGAGGAGACTGACGTTATGACTGCTCAAGTATCACAGCAGGGAAGTGCAATGTTGGAAGACCAACAGAAAGCATGTACAACACATTCTGGCAGAGAGCACTGCAGCCTTCATAAACTGTACACCCCTGTGACTAAATATTGGTGGGGGACAGGGTCTGTCGCTGTATAACACTGGGGTACAGTACCG